TACTCACAGGTAATAGTTGACTGTTTTAATGGATGCAGCATAAAAATCTTTTACTGACCTAATGCAATACATATACACTTTGTAGTTAAAGAATTTTGAAGTTCTTAATGTCATCATGGCAGCTACATCCTTTAGCTTTGTGCCCTGCTCCCCCGATCACTTTGCAAACACTCTCAGCAGACTTTCAGAGAGAAACTCAAGCAGAAACCTTGACTATAAAGGCATGGCTGGGATGGACTTGAATGCTGCATTTTATCTGAAATCACATAAAATTATTTTAAAATAACAGCAGGCACTGTTAATGGTTAATCAGTAATTTTTTTGTTAAATAAAACCTGTGTTTCCAGATCTTATGGGATTAAAAAGATCCTAAGATGTTTGTTTTGAATTTGCAACCCCACAACACACAGGTTACAACCTAATTTTTCTTCAAGTGTGCATTAATGCGAGTCCAGTAATCACCTTTCTGACAATATATACAGGTATAAGTTAAACCTATGGCAGATTTTGGATTTCACAGTTGTATTAATAAGGTGGCCTGTGTGAGTATGCATGCACCTAATAATTACAAAAAGTCTGTTATAATTATGTCACAGAAACCTTAAGCGAAAATAGAATATACTTTCTCACCATAACACCTTGAACCCACAATTGGCAAATTAATTCACACAGAAAACCAAATTATGTTATGAGCGCCTCGGGGTTAAGTTTAATGTGACATTGTGGCTCTTGCGCCAAAAACCATAATATCACATTAAACATTATGGTTTTTGGTTTTAAGTGTAGAGCTTCATTTTGACCTGAAAATACGTTTGGGAAATTGGGTGAGACGTTATGGATTTGTTTTTACTGTTTTGGGAATACGAGGCATAGTTTCAAGAAATGTGTTTAAGCAATCGAGAAAAACTGCAAATTTGGATATCTGTTGTGGACATATGATAATGTGCTTCCATACATACAGATGCTTTTCTTTTAGCAAAGGGTTTTGTGTCTCTCCTCCTGCAGAAGGCGGACATGGCAGTGGCCCCGCTGACCATCACTCTGGTGCGAGAGCAGGTGATCGACTTCACAAAACCCTTCATGTCTCTGGGAATCTCCATCATGATCAAGAAACCTACCAAGTCCAAACCGGGCGTCTTCTCTTTCCTCGACCCGCTGGCCTACGAGATCTGGATGTGCATCGTCTTTGCCTACATCGGGGTCAGCGTGGTGCTCTTCCTGGTGAGACTGGGCAGACTGGATAAAGAAAGCTTTCTTTTAACTAATGTTAGCTAACATGATACTTTGTGAAAGACGGATGGATGGATGGGTGGACAGAGCTGGTGCAAGCCTAGTCAGTGACATTAAAATGATTTTTGATTGCTTCACATACTGTAGAAATGACTCCAAAGGCTGTTAGGACTAGAAGAGTAAGTGACATCAAATTCTTTAAGTTTACTGTTAAACTGAGGATCCTTGTTTTTTTGTTTTTTTTGTTTTTTTTATCTTAACAGGTGAGTCGGTTCAGTCCTTACGAATGGAACGGTGAGGAGTCTGATGATGAAGATGAAACTGCTCCCTCTTCTTCTCGAAGAGCTCAGGCCTCTTCATCCGCAGAACATACCCACTCTCCAGGTATCTCAGCATATATGTCATTTTTTTTTTACGTTTATTCTTGTAACAACAGAAACCGAACCTTCATCTTTTATATTTTTGATTGTTTCCTCTGTTAGGGTTCTCCCAGGCTCAGGGGCAGAACCAGAATCAGCAGAAGGAAAAGGAGACCCCAGAATACACCAATGACTTTGGCATCTTTAATTCTCTGTGGTTCTCACTCGGAGCGTTTATGCAGCAGGGCTGTGACATCTCTCCCAGGTAATTACTTATCTTCTAGCTCCTTACATGCTTTTGTGAAATATTGGGGTTTTGCCATTTTGTGATGCAATGATGCAATTTTATTGTAAACCAAAATGTTCGAAACGGTTCCTGTAATTCATTTTTCTTAACTTCTGTATTACACATTTATTTTATTTTTGTTTTACTTTATTTTATGATCAGCCAAAAGGTCTCAATGATCACTGTAATTTTAATTTCACTTATTAATTAGGTATGCCACACGGGAGCAGTTTGTGTCTGTTTTACTGGAGCAACTTTACTATTTTTCTGGTGTCAGTGGAGAGTGCAACGTTTTTAAGAATTAAAAATTGAAACGAACCAAACAAAGACGTTCTGTGAAATCTGTATGAGTGCTGTTACAGAAGACCTCGCAAACACGAGAACACACACGTAGCTTTATGATACACTCTCAGCTGCATTATTGATGCACACATGTATCATGAAATGCGGCCGATTCTGTGTGACATGCTGCCGGGTTTGTTGTATGTTACCGCTGCATTAAGGCCTGAGGCTCTTTCTATTTTGGATCTGCTACAGTCTGTGCGCTTGTGCGTGTCCTCATATGTATGTAAGTGTGTCACTGTGTGTGTATTTTGGACCATTACAGTGATTGTCTTCCTCATGATCCCTAAGCCAGATTTCATGAGATGTTATCTGTATGTTGCATACAGATAACATCTTATACATGTTGTATAAGAAGGCAGTTATAGTCGCACTTTTGCCTCAATCAGACTTTTACAGTTGTGACGATTCTTCTTGGCATTACCTTTAGCATGTCTTGCTGTGTACATGGACCTATGAGAGGGCTGGACCTTTCTCACTGGATGTCCGTTAATAATACCATAATGTTACGGCCCTAGCAGGGCCTCCTCCTGAAAGTGCCTGTGTGGGCGTGTCCCACCACCTCTCCTGCCTGAGGTGCCACCTTTCCCTTTTGTGCAGCTGACTCTTGTCAGTAATCGAGGAGATTTAAGCCCAGGAAAAGGTGAGCTCTGGGCCAGAGTGCCATTAGTGTGTTTGCAGCTAGTGAGCTGTGCGTTTGGTGTATTTGCAGTTAGTGAGCTGCTCTCTCTTTTTGACTTACTTTTTACTTTATTGACCAACGCTTGAGTTTTGTTTGTTTTCCTTAAATGGTGATAGCGGCTTGTCCGTCTCCTTTAGTTGAGCTAATTCTAATAAAACTATTTAATTTAACCCTTTTGCCTCCTTGACTCCTTTTTCTGACCTGGACACTTCTTGTTACTTCCCCCTCATTGCCTGGACCCTTTTAGGGGAACGTAACAAGTGGGGGCTCGCCCGGGATCTTTGAAAAGGGAGTTTCAAGTTGGATTTGGTTTTGATTATCTTGCTTTGTCACCTTTTGAGAACCACAACTTCCCAGTTAAGTTAGGTGAGTGTCCAGCTGAGCTTTTTAAGTTCTTCCGTTGGGCACTCTTTTATTATTTTGCCTTTCTTATTTTTGGAGTAATCCTGGGTGGGGATTAGTTCCCTGTTGGGGGTAGGCAATTCAGGGCTACGTACTAGTATATGTGTGGGTAATTGTGCTGTTCTAGGACCAGTTCTGTTCTGGATCCAGGCTGCCAATGAAATCCTGTGGTTGACAATCATCTTAACAGCGCCACTAATGAGTTATTTTGCCTTACTTAATTCAAGCCTCTGTCTAAATGAATGGTTAGAGAGTCATAACATTCATTTTAGTGGTCATGGGAATCTTAAATCGCCAGTCATACCTGATGCTTTAAAATAGTTGCTGACATTTCTCAAAATAAATTTAAGGAATAGCTTTCTCCTTCTGTTGTTCATATTACATTTGGCCATGTTTCATCCACCCATCTTTTGCTTCTTGGATTGGATTCTATGGATTGTGGAGGCAGCAGTCTAAGCAAACATGCCAAGACCTTTAATTCCCTAAGAAGTTGAGAGATATAATTTTGGTTTGCACAGGGGCCTCTTCCCAATGGAGATTTCCAAGCAGATGCTTAAACCACTTGAACGGACTCCTGTTGATGTAGAGGACTGGTGGCCCTTCTCTAACGACTTCCCAAATAGCCAAGCTCCTCATCTCCATGGGAGAGAAAGCTAACTTCTGCTTGTACAGGGAGTGCAGAATTATTAGGCAAGTTGTATTTTTGAGGAATAAT